TTAGCAACGTTTCCTCAAACGTCATAGAATGCTGACCAGAACGTTATGGCGTGACGGCCCCATTAGACATTGTGACATTGCAGCTACATGTTTCTCTTGTGCTTGAAGTTAAATACAAAATTACACCTCTGTACTGTTGAAATAGTGTGGCAAGTGTACTACCGATTCTCCTGTTGATTTAACACTGATTTAATGATGTTAAATATTCATACAAACTTCCAACGCAAAGTCCTCAATATATATTTATATCCATATACATTATATATGCATACAGTAAGTATTTTAGGTCCAGAGCACTCGCCTATGTTGTTTTTTATGCATACGTACATCCACATCTGTCTTTATTATAACAAAAATAAAAAATAAATCTGTATATTCTTTTTTATCTACCATTAGACTACATCTGTACTGAATCGGGCTTCAAGCACGTGACTCTTGCAATCAATTACCTGACCGCCATATGTGTCTGTTTGTCTTAAAAATGGCCGACTTAGTGACTAAAACACATGGAGGAACGAAAAGACACCTGTACAGACAGAAAATAACATACAGTATATGTATGTTTTCTTCTTACCTGATATCAGTAAGTACAGTGTATAACTAGTGTTTTTTTGTATTGTTTTCTGTTTGCATGATTGATTGTTTGCTTGTATAAAAATTGTCCCTTCTCGCAGCAAAAGGGGCCACGAAGACCAAGTGATTAAGGCTTCTGACATTCTGCTACCACCACTGGGTCGCGGGTTCGAGCCCTACGTGGTGCAGTCGCCAGATACTGGACGTTGGTCGGTAGTTTTTCTCCGAGTTACAAGAAAACTGGTTTGAGCACATAATCCTTGCTTGAGCATGAGAACGGTTTCATGAATACGGGCCCAGGTGTCAACCCCGACCTTTCCGTTCCCCGGAATCATCATCCCTCGACTTACACCGTACACGAGTCTATACTGTTGTACATTTTCTCTTTGTAGAATCGCCAGAGTTAAATTTAAGATCATTCGCAAATTAATCCACTGTTTCTTCAATGTATTTCTCAACGTGGTCCCTCAATGATACCTTATATTACTACACTAAATTTATGAATTAATAAAGATAAGTTCGTACTTTAAAAAAACAAAAATGGTTTTCCTTCCCATTGATAGTGATCTGGACTTATAGGGATTGAATCTGGATTTTCCAGTGTTCATGCAAGTATGAACGGGGACACAATTACTTACACACCACACGAGCGCCCGTGGCTAAATTGTGACTAAACACATTTTGAAAAATGTTATCGGTATCAAACTTGTGGCTCAATAAATATAGCAACAATGGAGGGAATGAGCATTTTTTTCAATCTTTGCAATAGAACAGTAAAAAAGTAACTATGTGATTTTGAATAACAAAAATAAGGATAGGCTCCATTTTGAAACAGGAAGTTGTGCATTGTATAAGCCTGTTGTCAGACACCTTCAACAGGTTTTAACGAGTAGTTACAGTTTTTGGCACGAGGATCCTTAATTCTTGAGTCAGGCATTTTTTTCTAAATTTTATTCCATTTTATTTCATTTGGTGACAAACAGCATTATCTGTATGAAGATATATACATAAACGTATACATTCATGAGTTAGGAATTTACATTTATAGATTGTGATGTGTTTATGTTTCAAAATATTGGCAAGCTGGCGTTTTTCATGCATATACATTGTATAAAATATACAACAGTACTGGTTTTAATTATTCATACATGTATGAGTCTGACATATCATATCTTATTAACAGGATACTTACATGTATTTATCACATAATGTACTGTGTTATCCAGTGAATATACCCATGACATATTTGTTTACGTATTAACCCATGTCATATGACCTTTCAGCCCTGTGATTGGTTGTAAGTTTCAATTGTTTCAATTGTGACGTCACGCCTAGGACAAGTACATGACGTCACAGACTTACGCATTGGAGTAAAAATAGCGGATTTTTACATTTCAAGGTTGCATGAAAATTGTCGTTTTAAACGAATAAATGCAACAAATCTCAACTATGTGATAATTTTGCTATGGTATATTTTTTCCTTGCGTCTTTACGCTTTGGTATATTTTTATTTCGTGCGTGTTGATAGTGTGGTATATTTCGTCCTTGTGTGTTGACGCTGTGGTATATAATTTTGTTTGGGGGAGGGGTCCAGTGGTTTGTTTAGTCCTTGTGTGTTGACGCTGTGGTAAATTATGTCGTTGTGCGTTTGACAATGTGAAACATTTGTCCCTGTGTGGCGCTGAGGTATATTTGATCCTTGATACTTGAAGCTGTGGTATATGTTGTCCGTGTGTGTTGATGCTTTGATATATTTGTCGTTGTGGGATGATGCTGTAGTACGTTTTGTCCATGGATGTTGACGCTACGATACATGCTGTCCTTGTATATTAACATCTCCATTGCAAGTTACTCTATGAGCATTACTACAAGAAATTGCGTCCATAGGGCTATGTACGCAATTGGATCAGTGTCATTGTGGTACATTTTGTCCGTGTGTGTTGATGGTGTGGTACATTTTGTCCCTATGTGTTGATGGTGTGGTACATTTTGTCCGTGTGTGTTGATGGTGTGGTACATTTTGTCCATGTGTGTTGATGGTGTGATACATTTTGTCCGCGTGTGTTGATGGTGTGGTACATTTTGTCCATGTGTGTTTTCACTGAGGTATATTTTGCTCTTGCCCGTTAACGCTGTGACACATTTCGTCCGTGTGTTGATGGTGAGCTACATTTTGTCCGTGTGTGTTTACACTGAGGTATATTTTGCTCTTGCCCGTTAACGCTGTGACACATTTCGTCCGTGTGTTGATGGTGAGCTACATTTTGTCCGTGTGTGTTTACACTGTGGTATATTTTGCTCTTGTGTGTTGACGCTGTGACACATTTCGTCCGTGTGTTGATGGTGAGCTACATTTTGTCCGTGTGTGTTTACACTGAGGGATATTTTGCTCTTGTGTGTTGACGCTGTGACACATTTCGTCCGTGTGTTGATGGTGTGCTACATTTTGTCCGTGTGTGTTGATGGTGTGGTATATTTTGTCCGTGTGTTGATGGTGTGCTACATTTTGTCCGCGTGTGTTGATGGTGTGTTACATTTTGTCCGCGTGTGTTGATGGTGTTACATTTTGTCCGTGTGTTGATGGTGTGCTACATTTTGTCTGCGTGTGTTGATGGTGTGTTACATTTTGTCCGTGTGTGTTGATGGGGTGCTACATTTTGTCCGAGTGTGTTGATGGTGTAGTACATTTTGTCCATGTGCGTTTACTCTGAGGTATATTTTGCCCTTGTGTGTTAACGCTGCGGCACATTTCGTCCGTGTGTTGAGGGTGTGGTACATTTTGTCCGGGTGTGTTGATGGGGTGGTACATTTTGTCAATGTGTGTTTACACTGAGATATATTTTGCTCTTGGGTGTTAACGCTGTGACATGTTGATGGTGTTACATTTTGTCCATGCGTGTTTACACTGAGGTAAATTTTGCTCTTGTGGGTTAACGCTGTGGCACGTTTCGTCCGTGTGTTGATGGTGTGGTACATTTTGTCCGTGTGTGTTGATGGTGTGGTACAATTTTGTCCGTGTGTGTTGATGGTGTGGTACATTTTGTCCGTGTGGTACAGGTTGGTAAGTATGGATTTTGAACAATTCTTTTAACACAACCAATTAGATTTTCTATGTGATGTTTCGATGACTTCACTATAACATTTATCAGACAAATGACCAGTGAAGCGTATGCACACAAAGTACTTTGTTGTCAAGCCATTCCCTCTACAATTCAAAATCTTTGACCACGCTCAACAATATAATAATACAGAATCAAATGGATATATAATATATGGGCAATTCTTTTGAGTGATGGAGGGAGTGTGTGTATATAAGTGAGTGCCAGATTGAGTAGGAGTATACGTGTGAGTAGTTATATTTGTTTCAAGTAGCCCAACAATAAGTTAAGATTTATTCTGTACATATTGTATATTCTGTTGTGTAGTCGGTTGCTGCCCTCTGTGTCAGGACCAATCCGAGGAGCTCACTAAACCAGTCTGGTGGTCCATGTGATATATGGGGACGAGGCCGTTACCTATGTCTACCATGTTCCATGCTGGCCATCTGTAGATTCACGGAGGGGGCAGAGACTGACTAGGGAACAAAATCACTACATTGGGTATAGAATGAAAATGGCCTCGGGCTCCACGTGGTGACCCAGAATCAACTTGCTAACTATAAATCTCCTCTTATATCTTACATCCTATGTTCTTCATCATGGCATCCATCTGCACTCTCAAGTAGATTTATTCTCTAGTTGTAACTCCAATTATATGTGAATGAAATCCTTCAAGTTAAAATCCTGCTAAGCCTATGATCGTCTGCCTGAACCATGCCATTTTTTAATAGCAATCAAGGTAACAGAGATGCTTTACTGATCTGTATCATAATCCACTGTGGTGTAGGGGAGAGAACTCCCATAACGAATACATGACTGAAATAGCTTAAATCAACGAGTCACTGCGTGGGAGCTCTGGTCGATGACTTCTGTTGTAGATGTAGAAAAAAACTTTTAAATCATTTCACAATAAATATATTATAATATACATTGTCCATTCCATAGGAGAGGGCTTGTATAGGCATTACGCCTGTTGCCCAATTCCTTTTGAAATTTGTATAAGATGCAATATTCAATAAAAAAAATTGTGAAATGAAATGCACACAAAGGTGTAAAATGTGTATGATTGTTTCATTGGTTACAATGGTTCCAGATGATAAGCAGACATTCTTGGACCGCTAGTGGCTAAATCGGAACACCGTGAAAAGAATTCGAAACATCTAGCGGAAGCTATGTCTACCATCATGATTCAGGAAGACGAAGAATTCATTTCACATGATGTTGTCTCTCTCTTTACCAATACACCCATTGACCATTTATAATCATTCGGAAACGCTTAGAATTAGACAGATCCAGACGCAAAAACACGAACTATATATTCAGGACATCATGGATTTGCTTGATTTTGTGCTGAAAACAACATATTTTAGTTTCCGAAATATCATCTATAAACAATGCTTCGGCACTGCTTTGGGTAGTCCAGTGTCTCCCAATGTGGCCAATCTGTTCATGGAACATCTGGAGCAAGAAGCAATAGCCACTGCCCCCATAGAATGCAAGCCTAACTTATGGAAACGATATGTTGACGACATACTTGAGTTAATTAAGAATGGGGCACAGAAGGATTTGACCTTACATATCAACACAATAGATGCCGCTAACAACATCACATTGTTATGCGAAGAAGAAACCAATGGCACAATGCCCTTCCTAGACACTCTATTGGTAAAGAAAGGAGACGGAACCGTGAAGGTATTGGTCTATAGAAAAAAAAGACCCATACGGACCAATATACCTAAACTTCAAATATCACCATCCTTTGAACCAGAACTTAAGCGTCGTACGCACATTGCTCAACAGATGTTATACAATAGTCACAGAACAACAGGACAAAACACAAGGGCAGAATCACATCGCTAGGGTAATGAGGGCATGTGCATATCCAGAATGGGCTATAAAACGTATACAAAAACAGTGTCAAAGAAAGGGGAAGAACAAAAAAAGGCCAGTCAAGGATAAGAATAAAACCAAAGGTCAAGTGGTCATTCCGTATATAAAGGGTATATCCGAAACCATATATATAGCGGTTATGGCAAAGCAATAGCCATGAAGCCCCACAAGACGCTTCGCAATATCTTAGAGAACCCCGAGGATCAAACACCCCAACAAAACGTAGCAGAATACAAAATCGGATGCAAAAACTGCAAAGCATCGTATATTAAAAAGACTGGAAGACAATACCTAAGTAGGTAGGAAATTAATCAGATCAGAAAGGAAGCAGTCGGAGTCCCAGATAAATAAATCGGCAATCACAGACCATGCCACACAGAAAAATCATGTGATTGACTGGGATAACTCCAAAGTTTTGGACAGACAGAGCAATATGTTAAAGCGGCAGATAAAGGAAGCAATCTAGATACGCCGCAGTGGGCCAGGTCTAAATCGAGACGAGGGGGCTCAAAGACTCTCGCACATCTATGACCAAGTATTAAACAAAGCGTAGCTGAATCGGGTCATGTCGGTACATATATAACAACTATTGTGCATGGGCTTACAGCGTAGCCGAATCGACATCGATTTTTGTGGACAACTCGTACACATTTTACACCTTTGTGTGCTTATACTTCACTGGTCATTTGTCTGATGAAGGTGACAGTGTACATATCGTACAAATCAACGAAACGTCACATGGAATTTTGTATTGGTTGTGTAAAAAGGATTTCTCAAAATTTGTTCATGTGTGTTTACACTGACGTATATTCTGTTCTTGAGTGCTAACGCTGTGGTCTATCTTGTCCATGTGTGTTGATGGTGTGGTATATTGTATCCATGTGTGTTTACACTGTGATACATTTTGTCCATGTGTGTTTACACTGTGATACATTTTGTCCATGTGTGTTGATGGTGTGGTATATTGTATCCATGTGTGTTTACACTGTGATACATTTTGTCCATGTGTGTTAACGCTGTGACACATATTGTATCCATGTGTGTTTACACTGTGATACATTTTGTCCATGTGTGTTGATGGTGTGGTATATTGTATCCATGTGTGTTTACACTGTGATACATTTTGTCCATGTGTGTTTACACTGTGATACATTTTGTCCATGTGTGTTGATGGTGTGGTATATTGTATTTATGTGTGTTTACACTGTGATACATTTTGTCCATGTGTGTTTACACTGTGATACATTTTGTCAATGTGTGATGACGCTGTGATACATTTTGTCCATGTGTGTTTACACTGTGATACATTTTGTCCATGTGTGATGACGCTGTGATACATTTTGTCCATGTGTGATGACGCTGTGATACATTTTGTCCATGTGTGATAACGCTGTGATACATTTTGTCCATGTGTGATGACGCTGTGACACATTTTGTCCATGTGTGATGACGCTGTGACACATTTTGTCCATGTGTGATAACGCTGTGACACATTTTGTCCATGTGTGATAACGCTGTGACACATTTTGTCCATGTGTGATGACGCTGTGATACATTTTGTCCATGTGTGATAACGCTGTGACACATTTTGTCCATGTGTGATAACGATGTGATACATTTTGTCCATGTGTGTTGACGCTATGATACATTTTGTCCATGTGTGATGAAGCTGTGATACATTTTGTCCATGTGTGATGACGCTGTGATACATTTTGTTTATGTGTGATAACGCTGTGACACATTTTTTCCATGTGTGATAACGCTGTGATACATTTTGTCCATGTGTGATGACGCTGTGATACATTTTGTCCATGTGTGATGACGCTGTGATACATTTTGTCCATGTGTGATGACGCTGTGATACATTTTGTCCATGTGTGATGACGCTGTGATACATTTTGTCCATGTGTGATGACGCTGTGATACATTTTGTCCATGTGTGATGACGCTGTGATACATTTTGTCCATGTGTGATGACGCTGTGATACATTTTGTCCATGTGTGATGACGCTGTGATACATTTTGTCCATGTGTGATGACGCTGTGATACATTTTGTCCATGTGTGATGACGCTGTGATACATTTTGTCCATGTGTGATGACGCTGTGATACATTTTGTCCATGTGTGATGACGCTGTGATACATTTTGTCCATGTGTGATGACGCTGTGATACATTTTGTCCATGTGTGATGACGCTGTGATACATTTTGTCCATGTGTGATGACGCTGTGATACATTTTGTCCATGTGTGATGACGCTGTGATACATTTTGTCCATGTGTGATGACGCTGTGATACATTTTGTCCATGTGTGATGACGCTGTGATACATTTTGTCCATGTGTGATGACGCTGTGATACATTTTGTCCATGTGTGATGACGCTGTGATACATTTTGTCCATGTGTGATGACGCTGTGATACATTTTGTCCATGTGTGATGACGCTGTGATACATTTTGTCCATGTGTGATGACGCTGTGATACATTTTGTCCATGTGTGATGACGCTGTGATACATTTTGTCCATGTGTGATGACGCTGTGATACATTTTGTCCATGTGTGATGACGCTGTGATACATTTTGTCCATGTGTGATGACGCTGTGATACATTTTGTCCATGTGTGATGACGCTGTGATACATTTTGTCCATGTGTGATGACGCTGTGATACATTTTGTCCATGTGTGATGACGCTGTGATACATTTTGTCCATGTGTGATGACGCTGTGATACATTTTGTCCATGTGTGATGACGCTGTGATACATTTTGTCCATGTGTGATGACGCTGTGATACATTTTGTCCATGTGTGATGACGCTGTGATACATTTTGTCCATGTGTGATGACGCTGTGATACATTTTGTCCATGTGTGATGACGCTGTGATACATTTTGTCCATGTGTGATGACGCTGTGATACATTTTGTCCATGTGTGATGACGCTGTGATACATTTTGTCCATGTGTGATGACGCTGTGATACATTTTGTCCATGTGTGATGACGCTGTGATACATTTTGTCCATGTGTGATGACGCTGTGATACATTTTGTCCATGTGTGATGACGCTGTGATACATTTTGTCCATGTGTGATGACGCTGTGATACATTTTGTCCATGTGTGATGACGCTGTGATACATTTTGTCCATGTGTGATGACGCTGTGATACATTTTGTCCATGTGTGATGACGCTGTGATACATTTTGTCCATGTGTGATGACGCTGTGATACATTTTGTCCATGTGTGATAACGCTGTGACACATTTTGTCCATGTGTGATGACGCTGTGATACATTTTGTCCATGTGTGATGACGCTGTGATACATTTTGTCCATGTGTGATGACGCTGTGATACATTTTGTCCATGTGTGATGACGCTGTGATACATTTTGTCCATGTGTGATGACGCTGTGATACATTTTGTCCATGTGTGATGACGCTGTGATACATTTTGTCCATGTGTGATGACGCTGTGATACATTTTGTCCATGTGTGATGACGCTGTGATACATTTTGTCCATGTGTGATGACGCTGTGATACATTTTGTCCATGTGTGATAACGCTGTGATACATTTTGTCCATGTGTGTTGACGCTGTTGTACATTTTGTCCATGTGTGATGACGCTGTGATACACTTATTTAATTTGTGTTGACACTGGTATGTTTTTTCTGACCTTTCGTATTTACGCTGTTATACATTTTGTCCATGTGCATTGACTTTGTATATTTTATTATGCGATGCAAGTTTGTTTTCTTTTTTCCTTCTAACAAAAATGCTGTGCCATAGTGTAATGGTTTGACATTACTCATCTTCCTGGAAGAAAAGAGTAAAATGGTTTCATATGTATTGATATCATAATTATAGATAAATATTGCAAATAATTTTCAGTTGTTGCACTATTTCGAGAATATGCCACGTATGACAAGATATTACATTCCTAAAAGAATCATGGTATTAAAAAAGTACTACCGAAAACATAAAAAGTTGCAATAATAAACTATTAAAAATACACTTTTTCGAAGTTACAGCATAAATAAGATAGTGTAATTTGGATCATATTTATCCATTACTAAATATTTAAGGATTCTCTATCCTCATATGTACATTAAATGCAATATTGATATTTTCTGATAGTTTCTAAGATATCTAGCACCACTGACGGTACCCATGCATGTGACGTCATCACTCACTGTGAGACGTCAACCTGGTAACGAAAAAAAAAATTAAGATGTATTTTTTTTAATTCAATTGAAAACTTCTGACAAAAAAAACCCCGGCAAAATGAAAACAATTTAATAATAGAACTACTTACCGCGCTCCACATAATAACAGAGTAATCAGGTTGACAATTTGCTGATGTGTATTCATACGCCAACTGGAAAGTTCATTGAAAAAATAACCTTTAAAATGATAAGTAGCTATATTGAGTTCAAGTTCAGTAGAAATGTAAATGTAATGTAATATCAGTGTTAAGACCCTCGAAATCTCACTTTTCATGGTTAAAGTACATTGAATGGGCTTTTTTTACAAAATATAATTTTTCATTTTTTCCATGAAAGCGAAATGTTTTCAGTCGTTTAGTATATTTTTAGCACTGCGTGCACAAATATCCTTCAGCTCTCTTAACTTATTACATTTGCAATCATTTTGCAATCTTTTGAAATGTTGGTGAATTCAATTTATTGTTTAATCTTTTAATTTCTTTATTTCACTTTTTTAATTACACAGGGATGGATCGTTGCGCAGACTGACACAGCTCTATTGGAACTTCAAAGAATCACATCCGTCAGTTTAGAGGAGTCCTCTCTATTTATGACAGTCTGGGGGTTCGGATATCTGGCCGGCTCGTTTCTCTGTGGGGCTGTGTACGACCGTCTCAACAAATTCCTCTCTCAGTTTGTCTCCTTGATCCTGATCGCCATATGTCTTACCGTCATACCTTGGTGTTACAATCATATTGTTATGAATACGGCACACGCCGTGTTAGGTTGTTTACTTGGATTCTTAGATACAGGTAATTGTTGTTTTAGGATTTGGACCAGATGGTAAATAGAGGATCTTGCATAAGTGTCCATGTCATATTGAATTTATTTTACGAGTTTAATAATCTCAGTATGGCACGGACAGGAATAAAATATCTTATTTACAAAATAGCCTTCATAGTTAGAAAAACAAACTGCACACACAAATATTTGTTAACAGCTGACTTTCTAAAGGTACAGAAACTTAGTTCTCCGATCAAAGTATTGTCGTTATGTGCAGTGCAAAGAATTTTTAAAACAATACACAGTTTTTCGAAAATTATAACGACAAATTAAACATTTCAAATTCGTTTCAATAACAGTTAATGTATCTTGTGGTATAGTAGATAAAAGTAGTACCCGTTGTGGCGTAGGAATATGTTCCATTAGGATTTATTACACGTGTGTAATACCATGTTTTATGACATGGCCGTATGACATAGTAAAATGGGTCAGTTATGAGATTTTTTCCTACTGATGTATAGACAGAAAAACGTAGAATAATCCGAATAAACTGTGAAGTAGTATTCTGCTGGAACATTATGATTAAGATATAAAGCTTAAAGGCAAAACTAAAATGTATATATACAGCTCAAAATATGTATTATTTTTATCCATAACAACAGCAGTATTTTTTTATGGATGGCGCACTGATTATTTTTGAAAAATTGCCTTTTATACGCCGGTCTTGCGTTATTTATGGCATGGGAGAAACGTGCCAATTGACATTGACCTTATTGCGTTCATAGCTCCATGATGGCAACATATTCTGGTGTAGTTTGTTTAAAGAGACATGCAAGGTATATAATTAATATTTAGGTGCAAATCAGTAAATTTTACTTTGCTAGGCTTTCTGCGCCGACTTATCCAATTTATCAATAGGCGTTTTATAGACACATATTGTATACTTACTGACATTTGTATTGGTGTTTCAGTCGTTATCGCAGAGATGCTTGCCATCTGGGGGAATGGAGCACGCAGTTTTATGCAAGCATTGCATTTTGGATATGCTGTTGGCGGAATTATCTCCCCTGCGATAATAGCACAGTTTACAACTGCTCAACAACTCGTACCAACGATGCCTTTAGCTTATGACGCTACTCCCAAATACGGAAGTGATAACTTGTCAATGACTTCCGGTTCAAATATGACGCTCAAATCTCATGTCGAGTCATCTCATGTTGAATACCAAGCGTTGATTGTTACTCAGCATCGTATTTCAACACCCGTTCCATTTTATGTTAGTTCTCCAATTTTTATACCATACGTCATTTCCGCTTGCGTTTGCGCGCTCATTGGATTATCCTACTTAGTGATAGCCTTGGTAATTCATCATGATCTTTACACTGAACGAGCTGGATCGAATATGACGTCATCTAAACATATGTCTACTTGCTGGAGAATTGCCGTCTTGATCAACATGGGAATGATGGCAGGCATTTACGTGGGTATTGAGGACGCCATTTCTGCGTTTCTGACAGTATACTGTGTCACTTATTTGGAGTGGTCAGTTTCGGACGGAACCTATATTCTGTCATTATTCAACGGATGCTTCGCCCTCGGATTACTTCTCGCCATTCTGTGGGTCTCGTATATAAACCCAAAGGACGTTTTAGGGTTTATTTGTGTGTTAGTTTCTGCAATGCTATTCGGCATGGTATGGTCTGGTCTAACGTATTCAGACATCGGTATCTGGATTTCGGTGGCATTAACCGGATTTTGTATGGCCGTTATCTTTCCGGCGATTTTCACATGGATGGAGGAGGATTTCTTTCCAGTGACAGGCAAAATTGCATCTTATTTCAACGCAATGGGAGCGGCTGGAGCAACAGTAAGCCCGATTGTCATCGGAACGCTGATGGACCGATACACCAAGATGTGGTTTGCTTACACTCTGCTAGCCGGGTCGTGTGTATTAGTGGTGACATATACAGCCGGCTTGATACTATCCCGATGCAGCAGGTTAAACAGGCGAAAATACGTATATCATAAACTGCAACCAATTATGGTTGTAAAAGATTGCGAGTAATTTCTATAAGTTATCACTCTTTACGACAGTTACCACACTCGATACTCGAGGAGTAGCGTTCTCCTATATTCCCTGCACCCATGTGACATGTAAAGACGAAATCGAATCTTATGTATGCCCTTTTACATTCTCTACAATCCTACAACATGTCAAGACGAATTTGAAGCCTACCCTGGAACATGTCAAGACGAAATCGAAGCCTATGAATGCGCTCTTACATTCTCTGCGCCCCTGGAACATGTCAAGACTAAATCGAAGCATGTATGTGCGCTATTACATTCTCTGCGCCCCTGGAACATGTCAAGACCAAATTGAAGCCTATGCATGCGCTCTTAAATTCTCTGCTACTTTAGCACATGTCAAGACTAAATCGAAGCCTATATATGCGCTATTTCATTATCTGCGACCCTGGAACATGTCAAGACTAAATCGAAGCCTGTATGTGCGCTATTACATTCTCTGCGCCCCTGGAACATGTCAAGACAAACTTGAAGCCTATGTATGCGCTCTTACATTATCTGGGCCCTGGAACAGGTCAAGACTAAATCGAAACCTATGTATGCGCTCTTACATTATCTGCACACCTGGAAAATGTCAAGACGAATTTGAAGACAATGGATGCGCTCTTAAATTCTCAGTAATTCTGGAACATGTCAAGACGAACTTGAAGACTATGGATGCGCTATTACATTAACACAACTATGTATGATTTGATGCACACATTATTCATAATAGGATTTACACACCTAGTTTCACTCGCACACAAAATATACGTTCTATACACAAAACAAACATGTACAATGTCCCTACATCAAAAAATAAATAAAGATCAATTCATAGGCGTTGATTATCATATATTGTCATTTAAACACTTGCTATGCATCATATATTTCTGCACATATGTAAATTTATTAACAGTAGCTGCTTCCTGTAAATGTATTCCGTATTTGCGTATTGCAGAGTTATCTTCTGTTGAGAGCAGGTATTGATTGTTACGTCATTGGTTAGTTTTAGAAAATTACGTCGTTTTCTCAAAAATTGATGACGTTACTCTCACAAACAAATGACGTAACAACAATACCTGCTCTCAAGAGAAGATAAATCTGCAATACGCAAATACGGAATATCACCATATAATAACAAATCAGTTGTAGGTTTATTTGTTGTTAGTTATTACAGTTAACAGTTTGGAGCAGAAACCAGTTTTCATATGAAAATCAAATATAACGGTTAACGCCATGTGACATGGCGCGACAAAGCATTACTATCATAACAAAAAGGGGCTATCGCCATGTGACCAAATACTGTCACAATGATGACCGATTACTGCCACGCATGTAATTAAACAACTCAAATACCATATCACTGATTCATGATGTTTAACAAAATAAACCTTCATATTATCTTCAGAGCAAATTAAAAATCAAAAAACATATGTATTCAAATACAATATATTTAAAAGCATAAAGCAAAAAAAAATACTGGTGATGGTTATCACACATCTAAATACATATTAATTTTATCCTGATATCTAACATAACCTAATGCATCAAGTATGACAGATGGTGTACATACGTTCACAAAATACAGTAACAGGGAAACAACTCTAAGAGCTTTAAAGTTCCCAACCGCTGCCAGTACATACCCACAATGATAGTTAACTTAATTGAGCAGAACACTGCAAAACTGATTATAAGTCTGTATATATCAATACATACATAACATTTGCAATTTCAACCGTTCTCGACACAATGTGCTCTTGGCCAAACACAAACGCGAAAGATGGCGACCACGAGGCCTGATACTGCTGCATCAGTTATCATGAAAATCTCGCTGTATTACATATTTGGAATAATTTGCATGATTCATATGCTGCAAAATTGTGACAGATACCTTGATAATCATATCTAAACTATTGTCAAACCCTGGTAATACATTTGAATTCACTTAAATGAAAAAAGGAGTAGAGCGTCAACTTTCAATGTATTTTCATTTTTTCAGAACATCATGGAATACCGAGGCGCATGCGCCAACTCTAACCTTTTCCGGCACTCAGAGTCTCTTCCCACTTATTCCGTCTTTGCGTATTGCAGAGTTATCTTCCCTTGGGAGCAGGTATTGATAGTTACGTCACTTGTTTGTGAGAGTAACGTCATAATGTTTTGAGAAAACGACGTAATTTTCTCCTAATTGACCTAGGGTAACAGAAATACCATGATCTGGTTCAATTATCTCAATCAAACTAGACGCAAGTCTAAATACATTACAGCTAATACATACCATGTTATCTCATTCGACATTAAAGTATTTTTTTGTTTTAAACATAGTTTATTGTAATTTATATACAAAGGGAGTTGGGCACAAGTTTTACAACATATATTAAATATTATATTAAAGTCTTTACAATAGCAAAGTCCAAACATTCTTCACAAATGTTGGTCTCGACTCAAATAGATCAAAGCAGTAAAAAACTAAAACCTAGTTCATCCTCGGAACATATTATGGAACTCCAAATGTGTCGTAAGTCAGCATTTGTGGCGGTCTCGTCCGACGACGGGGCCTTTCGAGACCACTTCAATCAGATGTCACATCACCATGTCCTACACCTGGTGGTCATTATACTCGTTCTCTACCGTTTCCACGTAGGTGCCTTCTGACAGTCTAATCCAAACTCAACCTTCCCTCAAAGTAATTTCGTTAACCAGGGGGTTACATGCATATAGGCGCGGTTAGAATTGCGAATGCATACTAATATTAAATGTTGATTTAGTTCTTAACTGCTTGTTTTTCATTGGCCATGTATGTCAAGTTTATCAGTTATCAGTCAAAACATTTCCTTCGGACCTAGGACCGATCAGACGCACTGCTCTCCATGACCGTTCGTCTGGTTGATCAGAACTTCGAGAACTTAGATTTGACTGTTGACTAATAAGTGATGATAAATCAACTGAATGATATTGTCGGTCTTATTGTGTGCTACAGTTATACAGTAGACAAAACGAAACTAAGGGGAGGCTACTGTATATACAAAACAAGCCATTCGGATTGATATGTCTCAGCCTGTGTCCCGCTTTGACCATCAATGCACATATCAGAACAACTAACTACCAAGTAAAAACTTAATGTTGACGCAGCCGCCGCCGAAAAAGCAACACCTTAGTCTCGCTTCCGCTGCTTCGTGGCGGCGAGACAAAACAGACTGCCATGGGATAGAAAAATTTACATGTGGAAATATAGTTTGAAATAAGATCATAATGCCTTCAATTATTTCATAAATACAGATTGAATCTTCTAGTGTAGGAAACGCTTAATAAGTGACAAAGTTAAATAATTAACACATCGTCAAAACGCTAAAATGAAATACATGTACGAGGGGCATTCAATAACACTGTAAATAATGGCAGAAATATCAAGTATGTTGCATATAAATAATAATAATATACAACATTTGATATAGCTAGAATAGGTCAATCTTAAGCGCTTCACAGTACAAAAATATACAATTTACACAATCAATACAATTAGCATATACATTAATCAATGCAATTGTGAGAAATTCAAAGAGCTGCCTTATCAGACGCTATTTACCTTCCTTTGTCACCTGACTAATATCTCCCTATGTGTGTATGCCTGAGTGTGTGCTGGAGATGTATAGTTTTATCTTTAGCAGACAGAAAGGCACTTTTGCAACCGTGCTATCATTGACGTTAACGATGCACGGTAGTCTTCACTTTGTTTACTGGCGAGACAATGGAAGATTGCACTACCGAGAACACTCCCAAAGACACTACCGAGAACACTCCCAAAGACACTACCGAGAACACTCCCAAAGACACTACCGAGAATACTACCAAAGACACTACCGAGAATACTCTCAAAGACACTACCGAGAACTCTCTCAAAGACACTACCGAGAACACTCCCAAAGACACTACCGAGAACACTCCCAAAGACACTACCGAGAACACTCCCAAAGACACTACCGAGAACACTCCCAAAGACACTACCGAGAACACTCCCAAAGACACTACCGAGAACACTCCCAAAGACACTACCGAGAACACTCCCAAAGACACTACCGAGAACACTCCCAAAGACACTACCGAGAACACTCCCAAAGACACTACCGAGAACACTCCCAAAGACACTACCGAGAACACTCCCAAAGACACTACCGAGAACACTCCCAAAGACACTACCGAGAACACTCCCAAAGACACTACCGAGAACACTCCCAAAGACACTACCGAGAACACTCCCAAAGACACTACCGAGAACACTCCCAAAGACACTACCGAGAACACTCCCAAAGACACTACCGAGAACACTCCCAAAGACACTACCGAGAACACTCCCAAAGACACTACCGAGAACACTCCCAAAGACACTACCGAGAACACTCCCAAAGACACTACCGAGAACACTCCCAAAGACACTACCGAGAACACTCCCAAAGACACTACCGAGAACACTCCCAAAGACACTACCGAGAACACTCCCAAAGACACTACCGAGAACACTCCCAAAGACACTACCGAGAACACTCCCAAAGACACTACCGAGAACACTCCCAAAGACACTACCGAGAACACTCCCAAAGACACTACCGAGAACACTCCCAAAGACACTACCGAGAACACTCCCAAAGACACTACCGAGAACACTCCCAAAGACACTACCGAGAACACTCCCAAAGACACTACCGAGAACACTCCCAAAGACACTACCGAGAACACTCCCAAAGACACTACCGAGAACACTCCCAAAGACACTACCGAGAACACTCCCAAAGACACTACCGAGAACACTCCCAAAGACACTACCGAGAACACTCCCAAAGACACTACCGAGAACACTCCCAAAGACACTACCGAGAACACTCCCAAAGACACTACCGAGAACACTCCCAAAGACACTACCGAGAACACTCCCAAAGACACTACCGAGAACACTCCCAAAGACACTACCGAGAACACTCCCAAAGACACTACCGAGAACACTCCCAAAGACACTACCGAGAACACTCCCAAAGACACTACCGAGAACACTCCCAAAGACACTACCGAGAACACTCCCAAAGACACTACCGAGAACACTCCCAAAGACACTACCGAGAACACTCCCAAAGACACTACCGAGAACACTCCCAAAGACACTACCGAGAACACTCCCAAAGACACTACCGAGAACACTCCCAAAGACACTACCGAGAACACTCCCAAAGACACTACCGAGAACACTCCCAAAGACACTACCGAGAACACTCCCAAAGACACTACCGAGAACACTCCCAAAGACACTACCGAGAACACTCCCAAAGACACTACCGAGAACACTCCCAAAGACACTACCGAGAACACTCCCAAAGACACTACCGAGAACACTCCCAAAGACACTACCGAGAACACTCCCAAAGACACTACCGAGAACACTCCCAAAGACACTACCGAGAACACTCCCAAAGACACTACCGAGAACACTCCCAAAGACACTACCGAGAACACTCCCAAAGACACTACCGAGAACACTCCCAAAGACACTACCGAGAACACTCCCAAAGACACTACCGAGAACACTCCCAAAGACACTACCGAGAACACTCCCAAAGACACTACCGAGAACACTCCCAAAGACACTACCGAGAACACTCCCAAAGACACTACCGAGAACACTCCCAAAGACACTACCGAGAACACTCCCAAAGACACTACCGAGAACACTCCCAAAGACACTACCGAGAACACTCCCAAAGACACTACCGAGAACACTCCCAAAGACACTACCGAGAACACTCCCAAAGACACTACCGAGAACACTCCCAAAGACACTACCGAGAACACTCCCAAAGACACTACCGAGAACACTCCCAAAGACACTACCGAGAACACTCCCAAAGACACTACCGAGAACACTCCCAAAGACACTACCGAGAACACTCCCAAAGACACTACCGAGAACACTCCCAAAGACACTACCGAGAACACTCCCAAAGACACTACCGAGAACACTCCCAAAGACACTACCGAGAACACTCCCAAAGACACTACCGAGAACACTCCCAAAGACACTACCGAGAACACTCCCAAAGACACTACCGAGAACACTCCCAAAGACACTACCGAGAACACTCCCAAAGACACTACCGAGAACACTCCCAAAGACACTACCGAGAACACTCCCAAAGACACTACCGAGAACACTCCCAAAGACACTACCGAGAACACTCCCAAAGACACTACCGAGAACACTCCCAAAGACACTACCGAGAACACTCCCAAAGACACTACCGAGAACACTCCCAAAGACACTACCGAGAACACTCCCAAAGACACTACCGAGAACACTCCCAAAGACACTACCGAGAACACTCCCAAAGACACTACCGAGAACACTCCCAAAGACACTACCGAGAACACTCCCAAAGACACTACCGAGAACACTCCCAAAGACACTACCGAGAACACTCCCAAAGACACTACCGAGAACACTCCCAAAGACACTACCGAGAACACTCCCAAAGACACTACCGAGAACACTCCCAAAGACACTACCGAGAACACTCCCAAAGACACTACCGAGAACACTCCCAAAGACACTACCGAGAATACTCCCAAAGACACTACCGAGAACACTCCCAAAGACACTACCGAGAACACTCCCAAAGACATAAATCGAGGTTCTTATGTACCACTTTATCACAACCTAGTTCGTAGTTCGTCTCAAAGCGGTTCACAAATTATTATCCGTGGTTATAGGGCCTTTGCAACCAGCCAATATCTTTCTCAACTACCTGGGGAGCATACAGCCAGTGCTGCCATTTCGGCGCTCACGGTTAGCATTCAATAATTCTAGCACTGTCCAACCACGCTCTCATTTACAGCTGAGTAGAATGGAACAGATACAACACAGAGCCGTGCCGTGACTCGAACCCGCAACCCTTCGGTCACAAGCCCGTCGTCCTACCAGTAGACTACCGTGCCCCCATACCGGTCCTCAGAGCATTTTCGTGGATAAAGGAAACAGTTAGAAGCCACAGGGACCTCAATCTGGTGAATAATGTGGATGGTTAATCTCTGCTACTTTCTTTTAATTTCGAAAACACCTGTACAATATTGATTTTGTGATATGAAGCTTTTTCGAAAGATGATGAAATGTTGCACGTGTATTGTTCTTTCAATGTTTTTGCAGCCTGCAAAGGCGCTTATCTATTTTATTGGCGGACGGGAGCCGTGTGGTGACAGAATTTATTGAACGGCCCTCGTATGAGATTTAAAACGACACAAAATATAATAACAGGGGCTAGGGAAATACTATACAAAATGTAGCCAATGAGCAGAAAAACAACTCGCTACATGTACAGGTGTGTTCACAATCCATCTGGAAAGGCTGGATGCCTCCCTTTACAACGGAATCAATTTATTTTGGATCAGTCGCAGTTGTAAAGTGGACAAGAAGTCATTTTAGAGAGATATTTATTGGATTTCCATTTAATACATTTTTTACAATATGTGTGTACACCAAAAAACCTCCACAATTAAAAAGATGAAATGTTGTAAACATTTTAAACATCATTTGACAAAGAGACATGAACTTCGATTCTGAAAATCTTCAATACTTGTGTTTCTAATAAAAAGCCTTTACATTAACGGTTAAAAAATCACGTTCTTGATTTTCTGATTGAAATAGTTTAATCTGTGTAAATCTGTACATGTACATTGTATATTTTCGCGATAATCCGCTCAACGCGATAAACGAGAACAATTCAACACCGCGAAAAATTTCACTTTCACAGTATATAGACAGATCAATCGTGAAATATTAGTCATCTGAGAATTTTACTTAAAGCTGTACATTGTATTATTTGAGACGACCTGCAAAGACTTATATGTACATTGACAAAAATAGCAATCACTCCGTAACCATATCAGTTGCACAAAACGTCATAGTACAGTAGATTTCTCTTAATATCACTTCCCATTTGTCAGAGAAAAACATGATATTAACAGAAACATGACATTAACAGAATACATATTTTCTGACGTTTTTCAGCCCTCAAAACCGGAAGTGAATTTAGTCAAATGCCTAAGTGATGTGGCTCTACGAAGAAGATTGATATTTTGTAACTAACCTTGTTCTTTACTCTAGTTGAAATATAGATATAAGTAAATAAGTATAGAAATAAATAAATTATTTGTATTTCATTTCAGTATGCAGTTACATTTCATATAGTTAGTAGCAAAATGACGATCAGTACGATCGTAATTATGATTGTTTACTGCAGTCTGCAGTAGTGATGTAGGCATACAAGTGTTTGGCGGGTATTCTGCATCAAAATCAATTGTAAACATGAGACTTGGTAAATATTTACCTTTTTCTTGATATATATACTGTTCTTTCGCTAGTAACATCTTTTTATAGGTTAATTTCTTTAGATATTTGCTGCAAGTGTGTAATCGAAGATAGTACACATGTTATAATTAATTGAAAGAATACATCACACTTGGCATTAGAAAAGTTTACAGATGTTAGACTGTCCTAGCTCCCCCAACCACAGGTGAATATCATGGTAACAAGTATGTACAATGTAAGTCAACCTATTGTTTAACAGCAAGCCAGGTGTAACCTATTGTTTGACAGTCAGCCAATTGTAAAAAATACCCTGTTAGGCCTAGGCATTGTTTACATATCGCGTCCAGGGTGTGACAGAAGTCCCCAGGGCATTTATCATGAATCATTACCACCTTGTCTTGTTGTAGTGTCTTGTCCTCCTTTCGTATAGGAGCTGTCCAGGGATCCTGGATTTTTTTGTGACAGTGGCCAAAATAAAGTGATATTAAGAGAAATCGACATAAAATCAGGTGATAATAAGAGAATTGAATTGCATAGAATATATAGCAGGAAAAACGGTGCACCAAAAAAACTTGATAATAACCGAAAAGTGACATTAAGCGACGTGATATTAGGTGAAATGTACTGTACTATGAATGCAATGAAAACCTGGTCGGTTCATATTCTGCGAGTATGAAACGACGTTGATATAGTTCTGTAATCGATGTCAGGTGAGCATGAATACATTGTTATTTTGTTCTATATTAAATAAATCTATTTTCCTGATCGGCGGGCTCGAATTGTCTCCCTTGCCGTTTTTGTGGCCGTAGTTTCCTAGACAACGCCATCCCACACATACACGTCATCAGCAAGAGGGCCGATTCTCCCATCAGTAAATATGCATACCATAGTGGGCTGTACACGTCCATTAAAGTACCGATGACGATTGGGTTGATAGTTCCGCCTAAAGCGGAAGTGATATTAAAGAAGGACGATATTTTCCCCGACACCGGTAGGAAATCTTCCTCCGTCCATGTAAACACGGTCGGGTAAATCACCGCTATGGACAACCCGGTAGCGGCAGCCGTCAGCCACATCCCAATATCGAAGTAATATACTCCACAAATCAAAATACTTGCAAACATTAACAGTAACAATACACAAAACACACTTAAAAATTTCTTTGGATTTAGATACTTGACCCATAGAACAGCTACCAGACGACCGAATCCAAAACAACCATAGAAAACAGACGTTGCATAGGACCCATCAACGCTCGACCAATCAAGACGGTTGACACAAAACGCATTTAAGAATCCGGAAAATGATTCTTCAATGGCGACATATATTCCAGCCATTAATCCAAAGTTTATAAGGACTAGTATTTTAGGAATTCTTGTAATATTCGGGGTTGAGTTTTCCTCTTTCGGTACACGCCCTGACCTTATTTTTGTAAGGTCAAAGGTGAAGTACATTACCAAGTAAGGTAATCCGATAAGTGTGCATAAACAAGCAGAAATGCTATATGCTATATAGACCTGCGAAGTGATATAAAAAGGGGCGAAAACAGTCGGGGAGTTCCGGGTAGAATTTAGCGATGTTGATATTTCGCGAAAGATGCTTTGATTGGTCGAATAAACTGTATTATTAACATAGAGCGCCGATTGGCTTGTCAAGTTACCAATCAAGTTATGATTGCCTAATATGTTTGTGATGTTAATGTAAGACGCATTGTAATTGGTTGTTGAAAATATGACGTCACGATGATGATCAAGTGTTGGCGCCAAAAACTGAGCCGTTATCACAGGGGAGATAATTCCGCCAAAAGCGTAGCCGAAATGCATCGCCTGCACGTACGAAAGTCCCTTTTCTCCCCACACTGCCAACATCTCGGCGTTTACCACTGAAATATAAAGACAAACTATGATATCACTTATTCATAACATACACATGTTCAGCGATGCACGGTGTGATATGACAATTTATCACATGAAGGCAAAATTCGACCAAAGACGTACACAGACAGTGTGCGTATTGAACTTGTCGCAACAATGCAAGACCGACTGGTTCCTTTAACAAGCCATGACTGAGTGACTGAGATAACTTAGACAAAATATACAATGCATCGCAAAGAACTATTATTATTTCGAAATTACTTTACCAAATTATTAAAACTGTAATTGTATATCATGTAAAAGTCACTGAAGTGGGTACTGGTATGTAAATAATATATGTTTCTATCTATGTATATCAATGGTACTTTTAATGTACAAATATTATTGAATCATTGCATTATCAAATATTATTGCATTATCAAATATTATTGAATCATTGCATTATTGATGACATTGTGTAATTCTTAAAGGGAAAGGGACGTTTTAAGTTGTAATAACTTGTGTCCAATTCCTTTTGAATTATTCAATTAAAAGAAGTTTAAACTAGAAGACATCAAAACAGCAGGAAAGGCAACATGGAATCCAGAGCCACGCTCGCGCTTTATGATCAATTTCAAACTGTTAATTAATCTCACTGTATTACGTCACACAGGCTTTACTTAATCCCCTGTCCCCCTCTTTGTAGAAATTCTAGAAACGGCAAACATAATGAGCTTGATATTCTATATACAATGACAACATGAGCTTTTATTCTAGTCGTAAGCATGAACTCTTACCTGAATCAATGATGCCCCCTGACAGGCCGACGAAAAAATGGGCCGTAACCATGGCGGCGTGCACGTGACACCATGGAATGATAACAAGTGCAATGGCGACAACAAGAAGGGAGATAAATTGGAATAAGAACTTGTTTATCCTCTTATACATGATACCACACAGCAGGGAGCCGGCGAAATAACCGACATTGAAAAATGTTTGATACAGGGAGGCGGCTTCCAGTGAAACGGAGGTGATCTGTTTGAGGTCGAGGAGGGCGGAGCCGATCTGGGCGAGATTCCATCCCTGTGTAGAGACAATAGAAACATAAGTTTAACCTCGATATACTTTTCTATTTATTTTTATTTTTATTTGTTCCTGTATCAATCATTTTACACAGTCATTATCATATACATTTTGCATATTTCGCATACATCAACCATACATATACTTGCATTATTGTCCGTAAGTAATCGTTGTTACACAAAAAATATGCATGTTTATGTACTTCAAATGTATATGCGTTCAGAAGTTGAGACAAATAAAAAATATTCAAGGATATACTTTATACTTTCCCATTTCTGCCTGGTCTTTCTTGCTGCATTCATGGTCAGTATATAAGCTGAATACAGATCTAAATTTCTATAGTTTCTCATATTTTTTTTACAATTTTCCCACTCAGGTTATAGTTTGTATTGTCTTCTTAATGATTTATATTTCTTAATCAATAATATTAAAAGGTTTATTCCAAGTGGTTTGACATCTTCAGTAACCCCAAATAGGAAAAATGTCAGGTTTTTTTCTATAACAATATCATACTGATTTAAGACTGAGTTGATCAGACAAGCCACAATGACTGGCTATGTATACAGTCCCAGATAAGGTGGTATATTGTTTCTGATGCTCCACTACAGAAACTGCATTCACCGCTCTCTAGCAGCTTTCATTTTAACAACATAGAGTTGGTGAAAATAAAATCTGTGAATGATTCTATATTGCAGACTTTGTAATTTTGAAACTTTTGTCTCAATCAATGGTAAAGTATATACCTGCTCCTATTTATTATTATTGAGATAAATGTATAATAGAACATGCCACCTTGCCTGGGACTTCGCTGGATTTGCTATTAATGTAGACACATTTTTTTCTGTAGAAAAACCGAGAAGTTTTTTTCGCTATTTCTGAGCTGTTTCAGATTTTCATGCATAATTGTTTCAATATTTTTCCCATACAAGTGAATAAACTCTCTTCCAGCCTCTAGGTATAGCGCTAATAAGGCTATTTTTATTCATAAAGTTCAAAGAGGTTTGATATTTTTATGCAAACTGATTATATGTCAAGAGATTACCATGAGCATCTACTAAGTCCTTAATGTAGAAAATACCCTCATGACTTAAATGTTTGAAAAATACTGGTTTTTTTGTTTATCTTTATCTTAGAGTTGAACCATAAGGGCTGAGAGAGAATATGCTCAGAGGCTGCGGGGGGGGGGGGGGGGGGGGGGCCCCGGGAAAAACCCCCCCCCCCCCCCCCCCCATATCTGTACAATTTCCTTCCTAAAATACCTAAATTTCTGTGTTTTGATACTTCAAATAGTGCAGTTTTTGTTAAGGTCCAAATCTTATCCCCTCCAAGTTTTTTTTTATATCATCTATTAATAGATATTTTCCAATCTAAACGATTGTTGACATCCAGACATTGTTTTATCCATATAAGTTTTAAAGCTTTACTGTAAGAAAAAATATCTAGACATTTTAGACCTACATCCTTCTAATCGCCCTTTAAAAGATTCCTTTTCAGTTTGTCAACTTTGCTGTCCTAGATAAAATTATAAAATAGAGACTGACTAGACAAGCAAGGACTGTTAATACTTGAACTATGATCGGAAAGGCGAAAGTTTTAATCACAGTTACCTTACCTATAATTGCAAGAATCCTAAATGGCCAGTTAGTGAGAAGTGCTTCAACTGATTGAAACTTTTCTATAAAGTTGTCTTCAAAACAGTCATCTTTTGATAAATACTAGGAAATTCCTCAAAGTTTAAATTTGCCATGGTGGTTCCATGCTATTCTATATGTCTCGTTTCAATTTCCTCACCGCAGTCCCTTTTTGCCCCAATCCCACCAGCTTGGGTTTTTTCAAAGTTTGTTCTTAAACCGGAACATCCTCCAAAGATGTCGATCAAGTACAGACCCCTCTCTAATGATTGCTTGTCAACATCCAATATTAGTGTTGAGTCATCAGCATATTGACTAACTAAAATACTGTCAAATAGCTAGTCGCGTGCCGTCAAGTTTGCTGTGTGTCCCACAGGGACCTGATAATATCGTACAGCTATATTTGGACTTAAACTAAGGTGCCCATATCCCCCTCCCTAACCCCTTCTCCCAGCATACAGCCCCTTCCTGCCAGCTTTCAGTCTCCCTCCTTGATCCCCTCCCCCATCCTGACCCCCAGTTTACAGCCAAAACATCCCCATCCCTTCCGTCCCGACCAACAGCCCACTCCTTGCCCCCCCACCCCCACCCCCACCCCCAAATGAAAATTCGAATTTCCTTCCATGGAATATTTATTCACGTTATTAATGAATTTCATTAGTTGTCAGCGTTTCAATAGAAATGGACACTATCTATTTATTTCCAATTTATCAGACCACTTTATGAGAACTGACAGCTGCCACACGTCGCCAATCTATAAAGTCATATGAAGTGTTAAAAATATACCGGTCAACTTCAAAGCACAGAATGGAGGGATTACGTGTATAGGTATGGTGTCAATAAGCGGGACGATAGATCTGTATCAAAGACATATATATCGTTTTATTCATTTTATGATAATAAGTATCATAATATCATGAATATGCAGGACTATATACAATGGTGTGCACGTTACGTTTTGTTCCCATAAGGTTCTATGTTAATAGGGTTTATTTTTGTAATATTTCCTGACACCGTTTTTCGACCCATTTTCATTAAAAAAAAAACGTGACACATGTGGTTGCGTTGACGACAATGCCATAGACACAATATCAATTGTGTCGTAAAATCGTTTTTAACAATTTATTTATCACGGTTAAAACTCAATAAACGGATTTAATATGAATATTTCCGACATAATTGATGGATTGGTATTCTAGATGTATGCAGAATTTCATCAAAATTGTGCAAAATGAAGCGAGGAAACTTATCTCAATAAATATCAATTTACGTAGAATCCAATAGGAATTCAACGGAGCATGAAAGACTTACGGCAACTGTATGTTGTGAGTTTTAAACTTACATAGCTGATAAATCTTGTGCCTGGCCCCTGTGACTTGAAAATGACAAATAATTCACCGATTTTGTATATTTAACAATGGATACCCGGTCTTAAACCATATATATGAATACCATTTCTCCTTTAGGTAGGCCTATCGTTCAGATCCGGAGAGTTTATACAGCGTTCCGACTCCAATAGGAACTATATTAGTATGGTGAACTTCTATAGTGATATATATAAACAACTTACGCAGGTAAGATACGATGCGCATAGACACACACTGTAGACGAGTTTCTGTCTGTGAATTGTCTTCGTGTTCTCATTCATGTTCCCATCAGGAGCCGAGTCAATCTTATCGTCCAGCGGATACTCTGCCATCGTGTTGTGATAGTATCACGACCACGAGGTGACACAGGTCCGATTAAAGGGGAGTAACTCTAACGTAGTTGTGGTATTTTCAACCTGAATTAAACAGTCGTGCTCAGGAAAATGTATGAATAAATATTTTAATTTAAATAAGAACTAGTTTTAAATTTATTCATTTTATGTATGTGCTATGTTAATAAATAGCCGTGCATAATACAATAGACCCAGCTACATACCAATACAAATTTGATACACGTTGTATTGATACATGGATACATAAATTTTATTCTGAAAAAAATAGGAAATTTTAATCCTTTGACATTTAAAAAATAATAATAAATAAATAAAACATATTTTAAAAATTGCGACGTTTAGATATTGATTATTTTCTGTAAAGCTGTATTTCTGCGCTTGGTTTTGCTAGTGTTCATCTAGTTTATATTCAAATTGTTCGCTGTGCTTTAATTCATAATATTGGACGAAATATTGTTCCATAAATCAGCAGTTCTCTGTGTAAACGAAAATGTTCTACTATTTAAACTTCAATGCGATTTGTAAACTGTATAGTTGTGTCCACGTGAAGATGTAGTTTCCCTGATATCAAATATGTCGGATACTTCATAGTCATATTTAACAGACAATATTTTGCAGACCTCTATCATGTCGCCACGGGATCTTCTATATACTAGTGTTGGTATTTTTATTTTCTTTAATCGCTCCTCACACTAAAGGATACGTCTTTGTTGCTCGACGGTGAACATTTTCTATTGTTTCATCGCAGAATCGAACCCCGACCGCGTTGCTGAAACGCCCATTCTCACTTATCATGCGTCATTAACCGAAAATCATGTCGCATGATCCTTTCACCTCCTATAATATAGCCTATACGTCAAAACTATAGTTCACTGTTTCACCGTTGTCGGTATAATGTGACCGAGTGGGGTGTCCTGCTGGGGGTCTGCGGCAGTATGTTTCAGTGAGGTAGCACTATAAAGTCGGCATCAGTTCCGTGCTATCACAAGGAGACAAACATGAACATATCGCAGCCTCCCAAAACACACACACACACATACTCCACGCATCTTGCACACAGGGGAGGCCGTCCTTAAATGACCATAGCTGTAACCAAACTTGATCACAAGAGATCATTACATCGATTTGAACTTTGTTCTGTTGGTAATGTTAAGTAGTAGGAGTGTAACACTTGACCAATATAATGTGTAACGTATCTGTTGGAATGGTAACGTATCTGTTTAATTTTTGAATGGGATTAACGATTGAAAAAATGACATGTACGCTAGTGTGCACAAGTTTTTGCAGGAAAAATTAAAGAGGACCTACGGCTCCGAGTATTTATTTTCCAGAAACCATACAAAATAAACATTGGAATTTGTCCATTGCCCTCTAAAACCTAAATCGCTACCTTAAGTTATTAACGAGAACCTGTACTCTGTTTAGACATAACATGTACCGTAAGATCCTGATCGCCGTTCGATTAACGAGTGATATATTTCCGACAAAGAGTACCCAATGATTATATGATCTGTACAATGGTAACTTCTATTTATAGAGTATAACGATTTCGGAACACACCTGTCTTCCAAAAGGTCCTCTTTAATATGTATGCGTTGATAATACACCTGTATTACGTGTAACAAAACACTTGTAGGCAAACGCCTTAATGACCCTAGCTGTTGATAGGACCTTAAACCCTACACAAACAACCAACACTAGATAATTTCACTGCAGTTTTTCGTACATACAGTTATCTCCCTTTAATAAGTTTTGGTATAACTGTAGCTTGACTGTGCCAGGGTGCTACAGTGGACTGGGTATTTCAGTCGGTTAGAGCGCCAGTATGATTGTCGGAGGTCGTGGGTTCGAATCCCGGTCTAATCCATTTGCATGTTAACACTCCGAACATTGTTGCTGGTTTTTTTTAATATAAGTATTCCGCCAAGAAATAGAGTTCTTTTCAAACACTAATTCATCAAAGCTACATTTATATCGATAAACATGTTTTCAATGCATAGACTTCAGTCGTACAAGTATCTTTAATGACACTTTGAATATTGTTTTTTCCGCATTCAATAGGAATACGTTTAGCCTGGTAATATGGTGACCTGTAGCATAAAATCTCTAGGAAGCTGGAATCATCCTGGTTATTACCCTTTGAGAAAAAATCTAGGCATCTGATTGGTTAAAAACTACAGTGTACCAAACCGCATTCGTAAATCTCAGTGGGTATACGAAAATATCAGGGGGTATACGATCATGTCACGGGATTCTCAGCAGTAATACGGTGGAATCACGGGATTTTACAAGGGGGTATACGGGTCACGTGTCTTTGTATCTTGCGGCCGGGCAACGGGAGACAACTCGCATTCGTCGTCTGCTTCGCTGTTTACAAAATGGCAAAATGTTAAAAAAAACTGACCAATGGCTAGGCTGATATACCTGCCCTTTGATGTACATGTACAGTGTTACATAGTCCAGGGGTGTAAAGAGCGAACATCAGTGTAACACCTAGATATCGAGGATGGTTATAATGATGAATGTGCCATTTTCATATCTATATGAACATGTACATACACATTGACATGCGTGTCGGCCTCACCTGTAAAACATGTATATCTTTACTGTGTTACATTTACATATATTCACAATATGGTAATGATACAATATAAGTTATGATTTCTTTACAAAAGGCAGCCTTAATACAATATGTACATAGTAACCACAATATGTACATAGTAAACACAATCTGAACACAGTACCTGTAAATACAATCTGTACATAGTAAACACAATATGTACATAGTAAAAACAATATGTGCATAGTAAACACAAACTGTACATAGTAAACACAATCTGTACATAGTAATCACAATATGTACATAGTAATCACAATATGTACATAGTAATAACAATATTTACATAGTAAGTACAATCTATACACAGTAAATACAATATGTACACAGTAAATTCAATCTGTACACAGTAAATACAAACTGTACACAGTAAATACAATCTGTACACAATACATGTAAATACAATCTGTACATAGTACACACAATATTTACATAGTAAATAAAATCTGTACACAGTAAATACAATATGTACACAGTAAATTCAATCTGTACACAGTAAATACAAACTGTACACAGTAAATACAATCTGTACACAGTAAATATAACCTGTCCACAGTAAATACAATCTGTACATAGTAAATACAATATGTACACAGTATATACAATCTGTACACAGTAAATATATTATGTACATAGTAAATAAAACTGCACACAGTATATACAATCTGAACATAGTAAATACAATATGTACACAGTATATGCAATCTGAACATAGTAAATACTGTGTGCAGTTTTATTTACTATATACATAATATATTTACTGTGTACAAATTGTATTTACTGCGTACAGATTGTATATACTGTGTCCAGTTTGTATTTACTGTGTATATATTGTATTTACTGTACACAGTAAATATAACCTGTCCACAGTAAATACAATATATACACAGTAAATACACACTGTACACAGTATATACAATCTCAACATAGTAAATACAATATGTGCACAGTAAATACAAAATGTACACAGTAAATACAATCTGTACACAGTAAATACAATATGTACATAGTAGACACAATATTTACATAAAAAATACAATATGTACACAGTAAATACAAACTGTACACAGTAAATACAATCTGTACATAGTAAATACATTCTGTACACAGTAAATACAATATGTACATAGTAAACACAATATTTACATAGAAAATACAATATGTACACAGTAAATACAACATTTACATAGTAAATACAATCTGTACACAAATTAAATACAAACTGTACACAGTAAATACAATCTGTACGCAGTAAATACAATTTGTACACAGTAAATACAATATTTACCCAATAAATACAATCTGTACATATTAAACAAAATCTGTACACAGTAAATACAATATGTACATAGTAAACACAATATGTACACATTAAATACAATCTGTACATAGTAAATACAATATGTACGCAGTAAATTCAAACTGTACACAGTAAATACAATCTGTACACAGTAAATACAATCTGTACACAGTAAATACAAACTGTACACAAATACAAACTGTACACAGTAAATAAAATCTGTACACAGTAAATACAATTCGTACATAGTTTACACAATCAGTACATAGTAAATACAATCTGTACACAGTAAATACAAACTGTACACAGTAAATACAATATGTACACAGTAAATACAATCTGTACATAGTAAACAAAATCTGTACACAGTAAATACAATATGTACACAGTAAATACAATATATACACAGTAAATACAATCTGAACATAGTAAACACAATCTGTACACAGTATATACAATCTGTACACAGTTAATACAATATGTACACAGTAAATACAATATGTACACAGTAAATACAATCTGAACATAGTAAACACAATCTGTACACAGTATATACAATCTGTATACAGTTAATACAATATGTACACAGTAAATACAATATGTACACAGTAAATACAATTTGAACATAGTAAACACAATCTGTACACAGTAAATACAATCTGTACACAGTATATACAATCTGAACATAGTAAATACAATATGTACACAGTAAATACAATCTGTACATTGTAAATACAATCTGTACACAGTAAATACAATATGTACACAGTAAATACAATCTGTACACAGTTAATATAAACTGTACACAGTATATACAATCTGAACATAGGAAATACAATATGTACACAGTAAATACAATCTGTACATTGTAAATACAATCTGTACATGGTTAATACAATCTGTACACAGTAAATACAATCTGTACATAGTAAACAAAATCTGTACACGGTAAATACAATCTGTACACAGTAAATACAATATGTACACAGTAAATACAATCTGTACACAGTTAATACAAACTGTACATAGTAAATACAATCTGTACATTGTAAATACAATCTGTACATTGTTAATACAATCTGTACACAGTAAATA